TAAACAATTATTAGCAATGATTATTGATCGAGCCGAAGATGAATTAAGTAAAGAAATGTATGTTTATATGTTTTTCATAATAATAATTTATTCTATATAATCAAGTATTTAAGAAAAATGGAAATCTATTAGTTTTAATAGTTAAAATGATATGAACAATAGAGAATAACAAAATTGCATTTTATTGTTTGTTTGTTTTTTTTATAAGGGATGAGAGTAAAAAACGTAGTAATCTATCATATACTTTAGAATTTTGTGCTCTTCTATTATTAGAGATAAATCAATAATGTCACAGACATTAAACAAAATAAAATAATGAATGATTTTATTTTCTAGTCTAATTGCTTATATGATTATTTTATGGAGACAAAAATTAAATGTTGAAGTGACACCAAAAATTCTTGAATTAGAAATTGAAAATTGGATTCGTCTGAAAACAAATGCTAATATTAATTTTAAAAGTGATCAAGCTATTGAATTTCTTCGTAAATTAGGTAATTGATTAACCTTTTTTTTTATGAAATTTTCTATGAGAAAAAGAAAAACAATAACTTTTCATTTTAGGTATTCTTTTACCTGAAGATCCATCACGATCAGATCGTTTACATGTTATTCCATTTAAACAAGTTGTTGGTATTCTTCCGAAAATTTCACGAGCATTAAGTGAAAAAAATGAAGAATGGGATTTAATTGAAGGATATGATAAAAAATATTTTGAAGTTGACTGGAAAACTGTTCTTAATGAAGATAAACTTCTTGAAAAAGGTGGATGGCATTGAATATTTTAATAGTCAAATGGAAAAATAATGCTAGATTAGTGTGCAATTTTATATCCTGCTATCATGTTTTTTTTTTGTTCTCTCATCATTTTCAATTCTTTTCATCTAACATTTATTTTCGTCTGAGCGTACGCGTGTGTGTGTGTGTATAGGAAATTTCACTGAAACAGTGAAATATATTATTATTCACTAAAACCAAATATTCTTTGTATTTGTAGATAATAAACAAAAATCTATCGATCATGTCTTCTATGGTCGATAGTGATACAGCTGGAGCAGAAAAAACAGGTCCAGGATCTGCAAAACAAGGTAAAAAGAATACTTGTGCAATCCTTTTTCGAATCATTGATTATGTGAGCTGTTACCTACTGATATTTGCAAAATATTTCAATAAATTTATTGATGATTTAAAATAAATTTTTGTTAATTTTTTTATTCAAGGACTTGGTTCACGAGCTACATCAAAAGTAACATTTCGTGATGGAGAAGGAAAGCCAAAAACTCAATCATCAGCTCATCCAAGTGAAGGTGAACATCGTTCATCAAGTATACCAACAGGTCTTCAACTTCAACATCAACAACTTAGTGATTTAAAAAAAAAAGATGATTTAAATCCATTTAAATTTTCACCTGATGTGGATTTTTGTGCATTAAGTCAACTTGATAAACATGAAAAAGCACAAGTAATTTTTTTTTTATTTTTATCATTCAAATGGATATTTTCTATTTCATTAAAAAAAACAAAAAAAGGAACGTGAACGTATGCAAAATCTTAAAGTACATGAAAAATTATCAAAAGCTCAACGTCTTATGAAAGGAAGACGTTTTCGTGTATTGAAAGAAATTGATGAAGAAATTGAACATGAAGTAAATAATTCATTTTGTTTATTTTTTTTTCCCTATTTGAAATAAATAAACTTGTAATCATTTATTTTTTTCAGCGTGCACAAAATAAAGAAAATCGTGTTGCATCAATGCGTGATAATGCACCATGGCTTGTTGCTATTACACGTAATCGTCGTGTTGAAAATGAAAGTTTACAAGATTTTATTGGAAAAAAACGTAATATGTTTGTTTTACAAGTAATTTCTATAAGCTTTTATTGAATTATATTTTTTCAGTTGTTCGCTTTTTCTTTTTTTCTGTCTTTAAGTATGAATTAACAGTGAAACGTACTGAAATGCGTAAACTTGAAGAGATAACTGCTGCTGAAGAACAACGAATTGAAAAAGCAGAAAAAGATTTAGAAGAAGATGCAGTATGTATTTTTATTGTTAATAAATATTATCTTTTTTTTTTTTTTTTAAAATTTTTATCTTTTTTTTTGTTTTCTAGCATATGTTTGATCAATTTTTAGCAGCAAATAATAAAAATGCTAATGAAGCAGCTCGTTTGTAAGAATGTTTTTTTTTTCTTCTTTCTTAATTGAAGAGCTTCTATTTATTTGTTTTGTTTGCATTAGAGCTGATGAAGAAGCACGTAAAAAATTAGAGAAAGTTGCAGAAATTAAACGTTTACATGGACAAATAACAGCATTAAAAAGTGAACTTGTACGACGTGAAGATGAATTAAATGAATTAAAACAATATAAACAATTTCTTGATCAAATTACACCAACGGTATTATCTATTGAAGAATATTTCTAAATCATCTAAGGAGGGCATTTGATAACAAAAAAAAAGTTTTATTTTCAAGGGAGAGGATGCGGAATGTCAAAGAAAATATTTTATTGATGGGAGAAAAAAAAACCGTGTTTGATGACATCCAAGTGTCGAGTCTTTTGTTGTGAGTAAATAACGATTAGCTTAGAATCAGAATTCTGTATTATTTCCGTTCAGAAATTTTGTAGGACTCATAGGTTAAGCAGTATGAATGAGTCTTTGAAATGTTCCCAAAAAAGAAAGTCTGAAAGGAAGCAATAGAACGAACATATCTAGAAACGATAAATCTGATCATATTCCTTTTGAAATTGATTGTGCTGTATTTATTATCAATTTTTACGTATAATGTAAAAAGCAAAGGTTCGAAAGTCTCACAGTAATCCTTCAGAAATAATGTCAATTGAGGACGTATTTGACTTTCTCCGTTCCTTCTGTCTAGAACCCGTCGAACCAAACACATTAGTGTCTAGATCCGAACTGTGTGTGCCGAACGTTCTTTATAGATGACTTGTAAACAGATAATAATTTTAAAAAATCATTTTTGAATAACTCCATTCTGATTTTCTATTCTCATTAGTAATCTCGATTTGTTTTATGTATTTTTAGGAATGGAAAGAAGAACGTCGTAAAAAACTCGAACAAGAACGTCTTTCACGTCAAAAACTTGATGTACAATCATCTTTATCTGATGATCTAGCAAGTAAATCAGGTAGTCGTCCACAAAGTCGTATTGTTGATTCGAAAATTGGTAAACGTGGTGGTGGTGGTCTATTACCACAAAAAAGTTTTGTTAAAGATGGTAGTCGACGTCGATCATCAGCTTCTTCTCATGATGTAGAATTTGGTGGTAAACATGGCAGTGAAACAGATATGAATAAATCACCATCTGAACTGAATATGAATGATTTAGATAATGATTTTGAATTATATTTTACTGATCCTCAACAATTATTAGCGATATTTACTGAACTTGAAGAACAAAATTTATCATTAATACAAAATAGTCAAGATCATGAAGAACAATTAGAAGAAATAACACGAGAATTACAAGTAACTATGGAAAAGAAAAATCTTGAAACTGAATCATTACAACGACAAGTTACTCAATTAGAACAAGCAATTGAATTAGAAAAACAAAAAGAAACAGAATTATTGGACAAAGTTGGGTAAAAAAATTTCATATTGAAAATAACAAAAAGAGAAATCTCTCTCTCTCTCTCTCTATATATATATATCGTTTCTTTTTTCTTAGTGCTCATTCATTATTTAATGAAGAAGTTGAACAAGATAAATATCTTGAACAATTATCAGAAGTTATAGGTAATGTTTATAAGAAAATTTTTAGTGAAAATCCTGTTACAAGTGATCCATTAAAAAATCTTGCATCTATTGAAAATCGTCTTGAAGAATTATTTCAAGAAATTGAACTTATGGATCCACTACGATTACAAGAAGCTGAAAAAGCCAAAGAAAAAGAACGACGTATTCGTTTACGTGAACAAAAGAAACTTGAAGAAGAACGAGCTACTGAAGAAAAGAAACGTAAAGCTGCATTACGTGCTAAAGAACCACCTAAGAAACATGTTGGTCGTCCAATAGCTGAACGATCAAGACCACCTGAATTGAAAAAAGCTGATCAAGATACAATCAATAAAACAAATGAAGAAGAAGAAGAACTTGCTTATTATTTTACTTGAACATATTTATCTCATTTACAGTGATACGTCTTTTTTTTCCGTCCATTTTATATTGAAGTTTTTTTTTTCCTATTCGAATGAATTTTCAATATAATAAAAATATTCATTTGCTTTAGTATATTTCAATTTTGAACTTTGTTTTAACATAAATAAAAAGAAGACCATTTCAAATTTGTAGAGAACATAAAGTGTTATCTTTTGACAGAAAAAGAGTATTTTGATCGAGTGAAAATTAGAAGGCAAATATTAAAAATATAAACGGTTTACTTTATTCTAACCCAACGAATCAATACTGCATATTTTCCTTTAAGATATTTTCGTCAGCATATTATATCATCTGACATGATCTTATGCAACGATTATTTGATTGGGTGAATGAAAATGTCCAACGAATTTTTTCCTCGTTCGATCACTGTCGTTGGTGGCGTGTGCGCATATTGTAGAAGCATCCGATTGTTGACAGTTACTTTTCATCTTTTGTATATTCTGCACTATATCAGTGTGACATGTGATCTAGCACAAATATTGCCGTTACACTGCGAAAAATAAAAGTGATATAATAACCGGAAAAGAGTATTTGAAAGTGAAACCAGAGACAAATCTTTTTCAAGGGTAGGTGACCGTCAAATATCTTTTCAAAAACTCTCCTTCGAACATATGAGAGCATTATCAATGACTAAGAAGCACTTTGTATGTGTCATTTGTACAATATTCATACGTGTTCTCCTTTTCTCTTTCTGTATGCAGCTTCTTTTCTTGTTATTAGTGAAATGTGTATACGATCAGTTTATTTTGGTGTGCAAACATTTATATATGAATGTCTCTCTCCGTTTAGAATACATTCGAGCCTCTTTTACAACGTCATGCCTATCGAAGTTATCGTTGCTGGTCTACCACGAACGGGAACAACATCAACGCGAATGGCTCTTGAACAATTAGGTTTTGTAAAAGTAATGCATATGAATCCTGACACTGCTGATCCACAAGTAATAGCAGCCTGGCGAGAAGTCTATGCAAATCATTTCGAGAAAACATGGACCAGTCAAGATTGGCGACATTTTTTTGATAAACGTTTCCCAGAATATGTGGCTGGTGTCGATTCTCCGTTTGCTGATTTCGCAGTTGAAATTGCTCAAGCCTATCCTAATGCGAAGGTACATTGAAAAATAATGAAATACTTGAATTGAACTATTTCTCTCTATTTGTTCTTTACTTTTCAGGTGATCTTGCAATACCGCGATCCTGAAAAGTGGTTCATATCTTTACAACTTCTAATGAAACATATATGCTTTTCGCGTTGGGATACTTTATGTATATGGCCTCTCGACGACTTCTATGCATATCATCAATATATGAAACCACGTTTAGCTTGGTGGCAAAATGTATACAATTATCCGAATGCAGGCAAACATATGATGTCATCGTATATAGACAAGATTAAATCATCAATTGCACCGGAACGAATTCTCATTTATAAAGTAGAAGATGGATGAGCACCATTATGCCAATTTTTGGACAGGAAAATCCCAGAAACAGCTTTTCCGAGGTGTAATGATGCAGAATCATTGACGAATGTATGCAAAAATTGGAAGAGAAAAGGTTTGACCATTTGGATAGGATGGTTGACGAAAATGGCTACAACAGCTCTAGGCTTGTCTATTATTGTTTTGATTTCTCGTCGAAAATTATTGTCTTGATGTCACCAACAATATCCCTAGCTATTGTTTATACCTCTTCTCTTCTTTCTTATGATCTTTTTTCTTATTTAGGACTGTTGCTATGTCAAACTTTTACATCTATGCTTGTCTCTCTATCCAGGCGTTGTTCTATGAACGATTGATACGACTTAATAAAATATCATTCGTCGGTGTTATCGTACTCTTCTTACTTGATCCATCTGAACTCCATTGTTTATCATGTGATGAACCTATAAGATGAAACAATGACATGAATGATAAAATAAGAAGAGACAGAAAATCTAATAAGAATATTTTTCAATATTTTGCACAGAATAATATCATCATAGTGTTGCTATTTCCACGTTGGTATGACAGTTGCTAGATGATGTATAATTCGATCCGAATATATTGCTAATGCTTGATTCAGTGCATACGGTCGTAATCGTCTTTTACCATTAACATTGTAATGCACATCACCATCACAAACACCAGTATGCACACCAACGAATCGTCCATTGGCATCAAATATGCAACCACCACTAGCACCACATAACGAAGGACAATCATGAACGATATGTATGTCGTCATTTGCTATGCATTTTCCTATCGACACTGTTCGATGGTTGAGATGCATGGCAGAATTCAAATGTTCTCGTGTATATAATGAATAACCAGGACGTTCTTGATAAAATTCTACATCGTTTTTTGTTCGGATTGTTGAACAATATGCCAGCAAAAATAATGATGAATTCGGTTCAAGTTCGGCTCTGTCCGATAATGGTATTGGACAAAAATCTTTTTTGTTTTTGGACATTAATACATCTTTTATTTGTTCATATCTGCAAATACTCAAAATTGCAACATCATCATCATAATTCGAACAAATTTCGTGTGGTTGTAATCCAATGCCATTAATACCACGAATGATTATTTCAGCTTCAAATATATTTGTATTATCTGTGTTGAATAATTGATCAGATGCATATGATAACGACGTAAATTCAATATATTTATATGGCACAAGTACATCTTCTTTTTCTATTAATGGGTTAAAGATATGAGCTGCTGTAATAATATATCGATCATTAATGATTAAATCACTTCCGTTTATATCACTTGTTATTTCTGCTTGCTAAAATTCGACACGAATTTTAACAACAAATGTGGATAAATATGCGAGTTGTTTGATGGTTGTTAAATTAATGTTCACATCAGAATTGATTATTAGATGAGTGTGACCATTGGATGAATAGGTAAATGGAACGTTTTCTTTCAATTGATTTGTTCAATAATCAATAAATGCACGTTCATTCGATGTCTTAAGTTCAGATCGAATTATCCGGTTATATTTGATGAGGCGTTGTTGAACTTCATGTTCTTCTTCTGACGATGATTTATTACTAGTATTCTATAATCAAAGTTTCAAAAAAAAATATTTAAATACGAGAAACTGCATTGATTTGACCAGTGATCTAGACACCTAGTTTTATTAATAACAACACGTGCCTCTTTTCTCCCGGACTTGATCAATTCTGATACAAGCTCAACTAGACAAAGATCAGAGCTTTGTGTTGCATATTATACATGATTCTTGTATTACACAGTGGATTTTAGTTTTATCATTAGAACTATGACTTACTAATTCTTCCTTGGTGTGTTCTACTGGCTTTGTCGATGATGACATCATATCAACTTTTTATCAGTTATCTAAAATGAAAAAAACTTTCTAGAATACTTTCTTCAGGTTAATGATACTCTTATGACAATATTTTTTGACCTTTTCATCGTGAGATGTATTCTACCAGTTCGATTAAGTAGTGTGAGAAGTGCTGTCTACTTGAAGAAGAACTAGACAAAGATCTTCTCACGAGACAACACACAGAGCAAAGATATTGAATTGATAATCAAGTTAATTGATCGTTTGGCACAACTTACTCATTCTATTCGGTACAGAAAAAAATGTTTCATTATTGGAAATGATCTTCTTTGGGAAAAAAAACATGAGTTTTCTGTATAGGTTGAATATCTTCAAATTGATCAGTAAATGGCATCTATTTTTCATCAAAAATTCATTCGAATTAAGAATTAAGAACGTCACAAAGCAATTTACCGTTTCGGAATTGAACGTTTTTCTAATTATTTATTCGTTTCTTGATGAGAATGAGCACGAAGATTTGTCAGCCATAGTGAAGAATAAAGTTTACCTGCTAATGCACTTATATTCGATGAAGAAAAATAACTAAATTCACCATAGAATTGATCATGAACTTTTCTCTTCAATGAAATCTCTTTAAATTTCATACATAGATGTTCACAATCGAGTCTTTCAACCTCCAATACAAGTTTGAGATGATTAGATAATCTGAACAAAAAAAGAAAAAATATAAATTCAAACAAAAACTTACTGTTGAAGCTTGTTGGAAAGTTGCCGAGTAATCGCCAAAAGTGACTCGGTTTCAATGATATGGGTATTCTTTCAAATTGAAATTCGATACAAGTAATGAGCAAGAACAAAACTAGCAACCCTTTGTGTCATTTTCATTAACTTCAAATCTTCTAGGAAAAATCAAACATGCCACAGAAATCAACAAGAGAAAAAGACTTACTGATGAAATGATTAAACGTTATTTCTATCATTATGAAGACGAATTGGTAAAAATCAATAATAACAAAACATGATCTATGTTCGACTGAAAGTTTCATTTTTTCTATTCGAAAAACAAGCAAATTCTATTGTCTATTGTTCAAAATGGCAAATAACAACAAAGAGGATGAAATGATGATGATCATTAAAGATTTACCTTTATAATTAATCATAACTTAACCATTCAATTAGAGTTTCAATCAAAAAGAATTCTGTTCAACTCAATAGACAAAAACAAACTTCGATCATTCATGAAGCTTTTCAACGATTTCATTTTGATTTATTTTTTTTTTGCAATCAATTCAATTGATCTATCAAAAAGTGGCGACATCTTTATCTGATTTGTGTCAAAATTTCTGCTTGAGATAAACTGCATAAACTAATTCACTGACGAAATGAATGCCATTAGCATCTTGTTGCCATTCTCTCTCATGAAACGACTCTCTAGCAACTGGACCTTAGATTTTGATATTTAATCTGTCAAGATATTCTATAGTTTTCAGGAGATCAAAAACGGAAAAAAAGAAATTCTCTTTAGAATAATTCTTATATAAAGCAAAGACGAATGATTTTCAATAGTAGTGTACAATACAATTCATTTTATCAAATGGAGTTAACTGTATACTGTGATTTGACTAAATACAAGATAATTTAGCAGATCATCGCGTATTTTTCCTCGAAAAAGAAATTTCGCTGATGTTTTTTCATTGAAATCCACGCGCAAACATAATTATCTAATATATTGATGATTCCAAGTGATCAAAACTTTTTATTAGAAGTTGGTGGAAAATGACTGATGTCTTTCTCACGCAACGTTTTGAGAATGAGATGGTAAACAGAGACAGAAGTGTTTTTATGCTCTATTCACGATAAAAAATAATTCTAGATTTGTTCATTGATGCTTTCAAAATCACTATGACATCTTCTTTGATGTCACAAAAAAAGGGTGTCGGTGTGAAGGTTCACTTCACCAACACTCCCCCCACCCACTCTCCAATTCAATGAGACGAATATATCCAAAAACCATGTCCTGCATTGGTCATCGAACATGAGACTACTGTTACACAATTGCCATGCAATTATTGCAATATGATTCGTTCCAAATTGAGCATTGTTATTTATTCTTTATTATTTCATATCGAGTGTGAGTTGTTACTGTGACAGTGAATGAAGACAAGCGGGTGTGGACACAGTTGTGGGTTCGGTGGGACTCTTCTCTTCTTTCACATTCATATCCACATCCTACAAAACACGCTCGTTGTAGTTTTGGCATGCAGCTGTGGATTTGCTGATCATCACAGAACATCATCTAGCGATGAGAATCACTTATTCATCTGCGTAAAATATATGTTGTTTTTAAGTGCTATT